AGGTGAGGTTGTTTTGACCCATTACAACTATGAGGCAAGATCCCCCTCTCATGAAATTTAGGTTTAGCTTTAAAAGTTATTCTTATTGAGTTGTCATATTTATTATGCATGTCAGATCTAGCTTGCAAAACAAGATAACACAAGTCTGTAAAAAATGTTAGTATTTTAAAATATTTGAAAGCTGGTTCCTGTCTCACTGATGGCAGCTTGAAAAATATAGCTCAGCTTCTTTTACTTCTAAAAGGCACATTAAGAGCCTGATCCTTTGAGGTGCTAAGTATCTTCAGTTGCTAGTGATTTCACTTGGAGTTTAGAATGCTCAGGACCAAATATGATAATAAGCCCAATGGCACTGAAAGTTGGGATTTTCCAACAAGGACAGCAAATTTAGACTCTCAGCTTTGAAGTGTTTGATGTTGGTTTCCAGGAAGAACTCACAGCAGTCAAGGCTTAAAAGCAGAACCATCAAGTTTAGAAATAACTTACACAGTAAACATTCATTCCTTATTCTCACTGTGAAATATTTTTAGTTAGGCTGCACCTGGAAAAAAATCAGACAAACTTCTTTGTTCCTCAAAAATACACGCATTTCATATTTTTTTTTTAAGACAAACAAACCTGTGTATTAGTTTTATTTTTCAGTAGTTCTATTTAGTATTCATTGCAGCAGAAGCTCTTGGCAGGAAGAAGAATAAAAGGTTCTGACTAACTGTTTTGTAAGTTGTCCATTCTTATTGTATCAACATTAATTATTTTTGATAGATTTGTCCTATAAAAACCTTGCTGCACTTTTTGACAGGTGAAACTGTCTTGTATGTCAGGAGTATAATTTTTGAAAATGAAAGCTTGATTAAATGTATGTTTGGTTATTTTTACACATGGAGATATTCTCTCTTTAGGAAGGAAATGCCTGTGATAACATTGCCTTTAAAAAGATAATTTAATCTTTATTTAAAACGAGATTTGAATTTTCCATCACAAAATGGGTAAACAGTCATGTAGAATTTTATGACAGATACCATCTTTGTCTGAGCTATTAGATATTTTTCAGAAATAAAAGGTTGAAGATAGTGCAAGCAAAATGGTATTTAACATTTTCCAGCATCATATTCAGTGTCAAAGGGCTATGATTAAAAATGTGATCTTTGATCCTGTAAAAGGATTAAGTTCTTTGTACTACTTTCTTTTTTTGAGGTCTGTGTTCAGAGTCCCTGGTGTTCTTTATGCTAAGGTGATGACTCAAGTCATCCAGATCTGTTAAAAAATATTTTAAAAGAAATACTTATTAAAGAAAACTGGAAGCTTAACTAACACCCTCCATACTCAGGAATACTAGTACAGTTTTATTGTAACATATCAGACACATCCATTACCTGAAATCCTCTGGTAGCATTGTAAAAATAAATCCCCTAATATAAAAGTAACCTTAGTCTTGTGTAAAATATAAACAGTTTCACTGAAAATGTATCTATAAGACTAAATGCTTATAAAATAATGTTGCCTTAATTTTAGCCTGGAAAAAAAAGGATATGGGGGAGACTAATATTTTTGATCTCTCTCCAGTTAGAGACAGACACAGACAGTTGCTCTATCATGTATGAGGAATGAGCTGAGGGTGCTCAACACGTTACGCATCAAATGCATAGTTTACAATGATTCAGAATTGAATTGAAGTCACAAGGAGTTGGATCAGCAAGGACAATAATAATAATAATTAATAAAAATTACACATAATAGATTTTAAGGCCAAAAGGACCATTGTATTATCTTGTCTGACATCCTGTCTATCATTGGCCATTAATTTAATCTAATTACCCTTGTATTGAGCCCATTGACTTCTGATTCATTGACTTCTAAAGCACATCTTCCAAAGAGGAATCTAGTCATGATTTGATGAGCTCAAGACATGGAGACTCCACCACTTCCTTTGGTACTTTGTTTCAATGGCCAATCACCCTTACTGTTACCAAAAAAAAAATGTGCCTAATTTATTATTTGAATTTGTTGGGCATCAGCCTCCAGCCACTGGATCTTTTCCCACTAGATTAAAGAGTCCCTTACTACTCGGTATTTTCTCCCAGTTACTTGTACTGTACAGTTTAAACAAGTCACCTCTCAATCTTTTTTTGATAAGATAAACAGATTGAACACTTTAAGTCTCTCACTGTGAGGTATTTTCTCCAGCCCTTGAATAATTTTTGTGGCTCGTTTATGTACCCTTTCTGGTTTTTCAACATTTTTTTTTCAAATGTGGACCCCAGAACTGAACACAATATTCCAGTGTTGGTCTCACCAATGCAGAATACAAAGTACAGTCATAGAATCTTAAAAATGTAGCGCTGGAAGGGACCTTGAGAACTCATTGAGTCCAGACCACTGTGCTCAGACAGGACCAAATAAACCTCCTTACAGCTACTCACTACTTCCCTGTTTATCCATTCAAAGATCATATTCGCCTTTTTTGTCACAGCATTACACTGAGGGCTCATGTTGAGTTGCTTGTCCTCTGTGACACCTAAATCCTTTTCAGAGTTACTGCTTTTCAGGATACAGGCCCCCATTGTCTTGGGCGCACACACAGACAGAGAAGGTGCAAGTGATGTGGTTTAATTAGGCAGCAACTTTATTAATTCAACTCCACTGGGAACTATCCAGCTAAAATATGTACAATGCAGGTCATGATTTCCCCTGGTGGAGAGCTGCTGTTAGCCCCCCACCCCGCCATAGCATGCCCTAGTCCATTGCTGGAAGCCCACTGCCTTCCCCTTGTTTGAGGGTTAAGGGTCTGGAGAAAGGGGGTTGTCTCCTCACTTTACCAGACATTAGGAATCCTAACCCCATTCCCCACGTTCTTTAGGGGATGCCTTCCACTAAGTCCTCTTCCAATTCCTTATTATCAGGGAATCAGATCCTCTATGGAATGAGTACCTCCACTTTATACTTGCCATGAGGAGGTGCCAGCAATTAGTTTGACTGCCTCCCTCCCACCCCAGCTTGTGTACCCAGATGTACTACGTATACACGACAAGCTAGGAACCTGATTCCCTGCTAATGTACGCATACCCCCACTAGCTCTCATTGAGCTAGCACAAGGGGTATGATGCCCCTACTTGTGTACACATACTCACGCTAGCTCTGATTGAGCTAGCACAAGTATAAATAGCAATGTAGCATTGGTAGCATCAGTGGAAGCATAGCTGAGCCGTGTCAAGTATATACCCACTGGTTTCAGGCAGGTTTGTACTCAGAAGGGCTCAGCCAGGCCTCCTCTGCCGCTACCAGTGCTACTGCATCTACACTGTTATTTATACTTGTGCTAGCTCAATCAGAGCTAGCGTGAGTATGTGTACACAAGTAGGGGCATCATACCCCTAGTTTGTAGTGTAGATGTATCCATAGTTAACAGTTCCCTCCCTAACACTGGTCAAAAATATATCGATTCCCCAGTCAGAGAGGTGTACCCTATTGTCCCTGAATAATTCATGTAACATATATGATTTTTTGGTGGCTAATTGCCAAAACTCTCCATTCCAGATGCTTCACACATCTTCTGGCCTTGTCAACCTGTGGAGGCCTGGTGGGTTCCTGCTGTGTACTCCACTGCAGCATTTTAGATCAGTGTATAGTCACCTGCCTGGAAAAGGCCCTGGATCCTGCCCTAAGTCTCTGCCCTGATCCAGTGAGCTCCATTTGCCCTGATGGAAACCCCAGACCCAACTCCTCCGAGTGCATTCAAATCAGCTTTCAGGGCTGATTCTGGCATCCAGTCTTCCCATTCAAGGAAACCCTCCATGCACATAACTCCCAGTGAAGTCAATGGAAATTCCACAAAGGGAGAGATTGCAGGATGAACCTCTTAAAGGATAATACAAGTGCACAAGTAACAATGTTTATAACTTTCTTAAAAAGAATGAAGACCACTTAAAAGTCAAATTATAACCACAAAATCGTGAGGTGCAGGAGTGGAATCATGAGTCTAGAAAAGCTTTGTACTGTGTCCAATTAGCATTTTTACTGTATCATAGATTTAATGTGTGCTCTTAGCATAATTAAATTCCTACATTGCATGGTTACCACCTACCATTACACTGTTGTTAAAACAGAATTAGAATGTACTGTTCAAGAGATTGGCTCTACGCTCTTTACTCAAGCAAAACTTTGGATCAGACCTCAAGTGAGAAACTGCTAAATTGAGGATTTAGGATGATTAAAAACAGACAAATAGTATTCTTTTGCACTTGTTACATTATACATGAAAGTATAATGTATCTGACTTGTCTATCAGGTAAATACAAAACAAAGTGCAAAAAAAATATGAAAAATGTTCAGGGATGTAACCAAAAGAAAATGGCTAATGTTTCTTCCCCTCTAAGGGTAAAATCTTGGCTCCATTGAATTCAGTAGGAGTTTTGCAATTAACTTTAGTGGGGCCAGGATTAACTCTTTTACTTGAAGATTTGGGAAAGAGTTTGAGCCAACAAATACGTAGAGCACAATTGTTAAACCTGTTGCTATAATAATATTATGTTTGCTGAATTCAGTAGCTTCTGGTCAGAGCTTACAACACAAGATATCTCACAGACTGTATAATGAGGTCTGGGAGTGGATGTAAAGGTTATTGTTATTTTCTAGCCATTTCCTAAAGGAATCTTATTTCAACATCCTTCCATTTCTACCGCGGTGCAGTCACTGAGATTTTTTTATCTGGATGGTGAAGTGTAACTATTGCAGAGATGAAAAACAACATGGCAGTAATTTTTGGAACATTAAAAATATTATGAATCAGTTTGTATAAAGTACTGTAGAGGAGAGTCAGAAACTTACAAGTACATCCAGTGCATTTTAGAGTTTGTTCCTTTTTTTTAGAGTTGTAGTGAGACACTTACATTGAGAAAATTACTATAAGCCCTGTACACACATACATTTTCAGTAAAATACATTTGACGCAATGTATAAGAGCAGCAATTATTCTAACTACCTGTTTTTTCCTTTTGTCTCAGCTCTCTAAGAAGTATGAAGTTCATGTTTGTGGAGAAGGTGGGGAATATGAAACATTCACTTTGGACTGTCCTCTGTTTAAGAAGAAAATAGTTGTGTAAGGAACTGTTTCTTCCCCTTCCTTAAATTTAAGTGATGGGAACATATTAACATTTAGCTTGAGGCAACATTTGTTGGCAGGAGTAGAACATGTCCTCTAAGTTCACAAACAGTCACTTTGTTTAACGCTGGCAAAGTCCTCTGAAAACCTAAATCAATGCCTGACAAGACGAGGCCTTCATAGAAGGCTATAAACTTTTTAGACATTTGCACTTTCGTTTACTTGCTGATTATGGCCTGCAGTAAAACTGGTACCTACACACTGACACTTTTATCCTTTCATGAAGTGCGAATTGCCTGTAATATTTATCTTTCATTACAGCTACATTTGATAAACTGCCACATCAGTAGCCTGTGGGTTCCATTAACTCTGTGTCTTTTTTTTCTTCTTCTTTTTTTCAACTTTAGTGACTTAGAATGATAATGCTAAACATTTTCCATCAGTTACTAAGGGGACATTTTTGAATGTAAACTTGCTTGAATCCATCCAGCTACTCTGAGTAGCTTATTTCTTTGCTGAAATTTGTTAAAATGTGTTTAGAGGTATATGCGAAATTTCTCTGTCTTAATTCAAGTTTCTCAGTACATGACGTTGAATAGCTTAGCCGTCATATTTTGAGATGTTTTGACTATTATTCCTATTCTTATCCAAGTAAACAGTCTCTAATAACGGAATGTCACTTGCATACCATTTCAGATACATCAACTTATGGAAGGTCAGCATTATGGCACATATGGACATTTAGTGCTGTAATGAAACAGGCCTATTCTTTTATATCTTCTTCTAGCAGTAGTAAGCAATAGAGGAAATGTGGCAAATTTACTGTGCAATTCAGGGCTGATACTATTCCTGTTGAAATCAATGGCAAATTACCATCAATTTCAGTAAGAAAAGGAGCAAGCATTTATGGCACTTTATTATTTTAGAGATAAGATCTGTTTGGTACAGTGACTTCATCAAGGTCTCTATTTTCAGCCAGACAAAATGTTGTGGTCTGATCAGCATTGTATTGTTAATTGGTAATATTGGTACACAACAGCATCATCCAGAAAAAGAGTGGCTAGCTTTCAGTCTACATTTGTTATAAAATTTGTTAGTTGACATCATAAGATATGTTCATATCAATGCATTGAAATTTGTTTGGCTGCTTTTCTTGCTTGCTTGCTTTCTTTCTCACGCTCACACTCACACACATTGGGATTGGGTGCCTAACTCCCTTAAGCCCTTCGAAGTCCCTGCCTGAATAAAGACAAGTCTGCAGTAAAATGATTTCATGTCTTACCAGAAAGTGTCAGTTATTGTTAAGGAGAGGAGAGGATTAATATGGAGGGCTATATTATGCTCCTTAGTCTCAGGTCTAGTGGAACTGCATTTGGCACCGAATCTAAGGGTAGTTTCTTTGAGGTACCACCAGACTCCTCATTGTTTTTGTGGATACAGTCTAACACGGCTACCCCTCAGAAAATTAAGATGGAACATATTAAATGGATTAAAAACTGGCTAACTGATAGGTCGCAACACGTAATTGTAAATGGGGAATCATCACTGAGATGATGGATTTCTTAGTGGCATCCCACAGAAATCAGTTGTTGACTATCCTGTTTAATGTTTTTCTCAGTGACCTGGAAGAAAACATAAAATCATGACTGATCAAGGTTGCACAATACAAAAATTGGGGAGTGGTAGATAATGAAGAGGGCAAATCACTGACAGAGAACAAGCGAGATTGCTTAGTAAGCTGAGCACAAGCAAACAATATGGCTAAATGTAACTATATATATCTAAGAATAAAGAATGTAGATCATAGAGGACGTTATTCTGGGAAGCAGTGACTCTGAAAAAGATTTCGGGATGGGGTGGATAATCAGCTGAACTTGAGCTTCCAGTGCAACGCTGTGGCCAAAATAGCTAATATGATCTTTGGATGCATAAGCAGTGGAATGTTGTGTACAAGTAAAGAGGTTATTTTATCACTGTGTTTGACACTGGGACATCGGCTACTGGTGTCTCCAGTTCAAGAAGGATGTTGATAAATTGGAGAAGGTTCACAGAATAGCCACAATTATTAAAGGATTAGAAAATGTGTTTATAGTGATAGACTCAAGGAGCGCCATCTGTTTAGCTTAACAAAGAGAAGGTTAAGGGGTGACTTGATTACACTCTGTAAGTACCTACACGGAGAACAAATATTTTATAATGGGCTCTTCAGTCAAGCAGACAAACTTATAACAAGATCTAATGGTTGAAAGTTGAAGCTAAACAAATTCAGACGGGCAATAAGGCATAAAAAAATTAACGATTAGGTTAATTAACTGTTAGAACAATTTACCAGGGTCATGGAGGATTCTGTATGACTGACAATTTTAAAATCAAGATTGGATGGATTTTTAAAAAGATATGCTCTAGGAATTTTGGTGGCGGGGGGTGAGGGAGGAGGATTCTATGGCTTGTATTATACAGGAGATCGGACTAAATGATCACAATGGATCCATTCTGGCCTTAGAATCTATGAATCTGTGACTCTATTATTGCTTTTTTAGAGGTCCTTGGCTATTTTGATAGATACTCTAGAGACTGTAGGTAGGCTATTCCATTCACTATGGTGGTGTAGATGCTAGGTGGTTAGATTGTCATAGTTCAAATATATTTCACTTCAGTAACATTTTGAAGCTTAGATGAAGATATACAAGTACCTCTAAGGACTTTTAAAGTAACAAAAATCCTATGTACTAAACTAGTCCAATTCTTCTCCCTAAAAATAACTTTGTCTGCATGAAATGTAGATCCCAGCAAAAAACAGTGAAGATGAGTCTTCCCCACAAAAATTGGAAAAAGAAAATCTAACTCACCTATTATAGTAAATAGACTCCTGGGTAGTATTTTTCCTGGATGATGTTTTTATCATACGTGTAATGTCTGACAAAATGCATTTCCTCAAATTTTTCTCTGAACAGAAAGGCAATCTGCTAGATTTGTGGATAAGAGAAAATTGCCAGTAGTGATGCTTGCTTTATTACGGACTGATGGCAGTCTAGTTAAGACTCTGTGACTTGCCTTCCCTTATAAGTCTGATTTTTTTCCTACCCTTCCCCCACCAAGCTCCCTTTGAAAATATCTCTTACTGCTGAAATTTCTCATGTATCCTCTCATGTCAGAGGAGAATTTATGAGGGACATGCTGAGTTAATTGAATTAGACATCTGAAGATGTACAAGTTTAAAGATATGCAAAATTTAGGAGAGAAAGGATGAACTTATGGCCAAAACAGGAAGGAAAGTCAGGAGATCTGGTTTTGCCAGAGTCTACTATAATTTGTTCACCAAATCACCTAGACTTGCTAGTTCAGAGGTGCTGAGCACTTGTAATTCCCATGGAAGCCAATGACACCTGTGGATGCCCAGCACTTCTGAAAAACAGACTTTAACCTTTTGCTTCAGTTGAAGGAGCCAAACAGTCTTAACTTGGCCCTGCAATGATACCATGCAATAACCATACATTCATGTTTAATGCATATTAGTGTCTTTGGTCTCAGATTAAATTAAACTGTTGGGTGTTTTTGCGGGGGGGGAGGGAGAGGGTTAGTTGGATTGTTTCATATTTTTTTCTGTCATGGTATCAGTACTGGGCAGTGTTTGGGTTATTTGGGTGCCCTAACTGCATTTCTGTAACTTAGCATGTTTGGAACACTTCGAAGTTTAACCTTAACTCTGAATTTTCTGGGTTTATGCTATTTGGTTTTGAGATGATTACAGCATCCCTGAGATGTTTTTTTAATCTTTAAATTACTTATATAAAAGGCTAAGATTTAGTTATGGATATTTTTAATAAAAGTCATGAACAGGTCACAGGCAATAAACAAAAATTCATGGCCCATGACCTGTATTATATACCCCTGACAAAATCTTGGGAAATCTGATGGGAGGGGAGCAGCTCAGGGGCACTGCTGGTGCTCCGGGAAACTGGGGACAGCCGTGCGCGGCCCAGGACTGCTGCTGGTGCTGGTGGGAACGACCCGAGGCCACTGCTCGTGCTTCGGGGGCCCTGGGGTCAGTTGCACCGGCCGCTGCAGAAGTCCCAAAGGTCCTGGAAAGTCACAGAATCCGTGGCCTCTGTGACAGACTCGCAGCCTTACTTATATATATATCCACAAATTCCCTTCACTCCTGTCCTACTCTAGTAGAACCCATCTATCCAACCACAGACCATCCTCAAATTTATCCTCACAGATTTAAACAGACTTCAATAACTGCCATGAACTACCATTTCTCTACTCTCTTTGTTCAAACCCACTGTACCTACCTTATTCTTCTTCTTGATGGGGGTCTGAGATCCCCTCTTCTACTGCAGTGTTTCTTAGTTTTTTCAGCTTGGTGACTTTATTTAATGCCAAATACAGTAAAAACAAACAAACACCCCATAGAATGTCCTATATTTATTTATACATACATACGTACATACATACATACCTTAACATCATCATTTCCAAGTAGGAAATGTATGCATCCTGGAAAAGAAATAGACTTCCCTAAATATTTCCTGGAAATTAATCAATAAACAAGAAACATTTATCAAGAATATCATCATTAAATCCTGTGGTATTCCTACAATCCATCTCTTATTGTATGTTTTTATTCATGGCGCGCATGAATTTTATCTGTTTCCACTTCCTGCTTTGCATGAGAACAGAATTCAAAATGAATGACTAAAGATAATTATTTGTTTTCATACAGGAATATTTTATTGTCTTCATTTAATAACTATATACAACCGAGCCACAGATTTCATTATCAAGAATTTCTTAGTAATCCTGATTAAAAAATGCATTAGCATTCATTCACTAAAGCTGTCCTTTGGTATTATGTTATCATCTTAGGAGTTTTTAATGATCAATTCCAAAGCATGTTTATAAAGAAAAATGATATTTTTAACTGAACTCTTTAAGGAAATCATTCAAGTCTGACCAGATGCTTTCAAATGTTTCCAGTTTGGTTGGTATTATTTAAAAGGGTATATTAGAACTGAATCCCTGCACCTATGAAGTCTTATGTAGTACTGTGTCTTAGGGCTTGTCTACACGAACAACTAGAGTGCTTTGAGCGAGTTTCATTTCAAAGAGGACTAGATCAAAGTACTCGCACGAACTGTTCATGGGCATCAGCAGCACATGGACAGTTAGACCATGCCAGGCTAGCATGGGGTAGAGTCATACCCCAGCATGACGTGAACTAATTATTCATGTAGGCAAACCCCTTATTTAAAGTATGCTTTGCCTCTGAAAAATCATTATGTAAAAATGGAATTTTGGGGTTCCATGTTTATTCTCTCTCAGAGACTCAATAAAAAATTTGTTCAGTTGCCAAGTAAATGAGAGGTTTTCTAACTTCCAGCCCTACAAATTGAACCTGGGATCTGGACGGTAAGGTGGGTTCTTTTACAGTTTAGCAATACCAATGGAACTTAGAGTTAATTATTCTGTTGATGTGTGAACAACTATATCACCCATATCTCTCTTATTGTATCGATTCTTCAGAGCAAGGTATAACTTTTTGAAGTATTGGTAATAGAAACTTATTTTAGTTAGTGAAGTAGAAAATGAGAGTCTGAATACAGAGCAAAGTAGGTATCTTCTATAAAAAGATATTTTTTCAGTCACTTTTTGCCCATTGCTGTTCTTTAACGTTTTCCAAAGAGACATCTATTAGGTGTACCAAAGTCGTGAACCCTTGGGAACAAAGCAGTTGTAAAATTCACCAGTGGATTTTCAGCTTAAATCTTTCTGCTCCCGATATTGCTATTTCTAACCTACATTGACTGTCGTCCTGATAAAAATAAGCCAGATCATCACCTTTTGGAAATTGATATAGCTATACTCATTTAGACGAGCTGAGGATCTGATCCAAAATGTTTTAGGGATTATTTGCAATAAGAACACTCATTGGTTGTGTTCTGACTATAAACACTGGTTTCTCTAGCTGATGCCAATGTCCTTCCTTTAACAAACTTAATTTTATCATTTGACCCCCTGGATATCTTCCACTTACTCTGTAAATAGATTACATCCTGAAAGTCTTAGTTTACAAAGTAGAGTATCTGTACGTACACTTCCTTAGTGAAAATGTCAAGACTGGTTACTTCAGTGTAATTCCAAGTGAACTATCTGTGGGCCAATAGCTTTACTGAGTACAAAAAAACCCCAAATTAATAATTTTTATGCATATGACTTTCTCTTGCACCTTCTGAGATTTTTTTGTATCTCATCTTCTGATACTGTATTTTCCCTTACCTATCTTAATTCCATTGCTAAATGTTCTAATTTTGAAACAGTGCAGGCAAGTGCAATAGATACTGCCTCTTATGAATTGGAGGTTGACAGATTAGGACGGTAAAAATGAAAACTAATTATTTACTAGTTTCAGTCAGCGTATCTGAAGCTTACACCATTCCCATTAATGCATTTGGCATTAGCAAGTTGTGTCTAGTAATCCTTCAATATGAGGTGTAAGATAGTTAAATGGCACAATCAGATTTCTCAATGGAACAAATATTATAGTGATTCCTGGAGCATTATTTAGTGGGAAATGAGGTTATCCCAAGATTTAAAATGCTGATAAAATAAAAACTTAGTGGTTCTCTTGACTAACAAAGGGTTGGCTTACTGTTGTGTCATCAGAGCTTCAGTCATCATGTCATTTATACCTACAGACATTCACACTAAGGCCTGGTTACACTGCTCTGAAAGTTTGAAATAGACTTAAAATGGGTGTAAATTGCATTTATTTTCCACACATTTTGCGGTTGAAAAGGAAGCTGAAGCTAAAACCCCATTGTTTAATGTTTTATATTTTCTGAATTAAATTTATGACAATGAAATAAAATGCAAATTATGAGAGTCTGCTGAGGTTTTTATTATATTAAACCAAAACTTCTGACAAAAAGAGTTTCTCCCAATTAATCATTTTTTTTTTAAAAAGCAACAAAACCCTTGAGCAGTAGTTGGTAAACCATGTTGAATAGTAGTTGAGGGACAATGGGCTTAGCCTATCCATAAAACCATGCATTAAAATACGGTGTTTATGATTCTGTATTTCAGGGACTCATCCCAAGTAGTTGTACATTCAGCTGATGCATTTGCACCTGTGGCTTACCTCCGCTTTTTAAAATTACACTTAGAAGATAAGGCAAGTTCATCTTTCTAAATCTTATGTTCCGTTTAATAGACAGTGAAGACATATGGACTACTTCCTTTTTATGTTGCTTTTCACAATTTGGACTTGAATCCTAGTTTTTGGCTCTGTCCTTCTATTTGCTGTAAAACCTGTACTTACTTTAACTGGTTTTTGGGAATTGCCATCAGAAAGACCCAACACAGATGCTCACTTGTGCCAAATGAATGAATGGAAGTAGTATTTGTATAGCATTTTTCATCTTGAAACCTCAAGGCGCTTAGCAGACACTGTTCAGCCAAGCACATGTGCAACCACTGAAGTGCAGCCACCCACGCTGTGGAACACAACTGATACTTTTGTATTAGCAAACCCTATAAACAACGTTCAGTTGTTGTGTGGTTGATTTTCTTATTGCTATTTTTGGTGAAAAGTAGATGTCGTTTAGAGACCTGTTGATCCCCAGTAGATGAGTTGTATCTACCAGACCCTCATTTCACATATGGTAGACAACCCAAGCTAGTAATGATTCTAAGTCTGGGAGTATCAGAGGGGTAGCCGTGTTAGTCTGAATAAATCTGGGAGGTGAAGCATCAGTTCCTAATCCTATTCCAGTCAGCTACCCCTCAGTAAAATGAGTTTACTGCAGAGGAGATATTCTGTCATATAAGGAGAGAGCTGACCAGCCAAACTTGATAGAGAGCTTAAGAAATATTAGCAGTAGTTCAAAGGGATTCAGTTTGTTTTTAACTTATGATAGCATGGAAAGTGTGCAATGCAGGAGTAAGAGCTCTAGTAATGGTAATGGTAGAGGTACATGTGTGCTGAAAGATTCTTGAGTATTGCAAATTTACCCTGACTATAGCATTGCTAATGAGGTTCAAAGACAACATTCTTTTCTTCCTTTTTGTGAGCACATTTTACCATTCCATTTTCTCTTGATTATTATACACATGCAGTGAACCTTTCTGCCTTTTGCATGTTTGTAAATGGTAACATTTCATTTACAGACTTCTATACCCTTAGAGTAATTTTGAAATTTGGTTGTGCAATATTTCTGAATGATAAAAAAGAACATATTGACATGTTTCTGCAATTAATGACATGTTAAGAATTTTGTAAAGGGCTGCCAATAGTACATCAAAGTAGGACTTTTTGTTACCAACTTTATTTTACAACATTAAACTTAGGCACACTTACTAAATAATGTTAAAATGCAAGTAAGTTATATGGATAATAGATTTATAAGAGATTTCTTGATGGCTTTTGCGTCAGGTATGAAGGTATTTCTTCTTTTAAGATCTATCTTGAAGACTGCTTTTGTTGAGGAAACATGCCTGTTGATCTTCCTGCTGTGCTAGAAACCTTCTTGGTATTCCTTGGGGGCGAGGAAAGGGGGTTCTGGTATTGCAGCTGATTGTAGTTTACTTTCCTTTTCTGTTTATTTTTACAGTCTGAAAATCAGTCAAGCTACTTCATATACAGGGATCATTACTGAATGCATCAGCGGGGTTTTTTTTTTTTTGTTCATCTGGTGACTTTTGAACACTTCAAGTACACATAGAGTATCAATTGTCTTTATTTAGGAGAGACAGATTGTATATTTTTATCAATAAGCAATACTGTCTCAATTTTTGCATTCTCTCTCTCCAAAGAGATAAAATGTTTTCCTATTTTCTTCCCAAATGACCTCATTCCTAGCTTTCCAACTGTGGCAGGTACTCCCTGCTTCATCCTATCCATTTCTTGTTTGGGATTTTTTAAATGTAAAATTTTAAAATATTTGTATGAGAGACTGTGTGAAAATGATGTCAACCAACTATGTGAAGTGAAACCAAATAAGCTGAATAATAGAAAACTCTGGTGAGGGAGAGTAGTGGAAATATATTAATATTTCTTTGGGGGCACTGACTTTATTGCTCATGGCAAACTTGATGCTAAAATGCACCATACATCACTACAGTGTGACAGGTTAGGGAAAATGAAAAACACAAAGCTTTACATAAATCAGGCAAAAAAATCGTATTAAAATGCATTACATTTTATATAAGAATCAAGATTTTACTTTTATCTATTCAGAAGCTCTTTTCCCCTTCTTATGTAGATGTTTCAGATTTTGTTAAAGCCTCACAGTTTCAAACAGTTTTATAGCAAATCATATTTCAAATTCATTGTAGACAAAGCTGTCACATTCTTAAAGAGGTAGGGTTATAGAAGCATGGTCTGGATTTTGGTATACACTAACATCTTCTAGAGTTAAAAAGGAAAATAGTTTGTTTTCTAATGATGGTGTCATGGGAAAAGGCATTAAAATCTTTTGGCTCTAGATTAATTTATGTCCTGGTATACTAAGCTATGTTTTCAAGAAGTTGTTACTATGGAGAGGCAGTCAATCTTTGAAGAGTGTAACATGTTACTAACTTAGCATAGTTTAACCACGAACTGTTTAAGTGACACTGTCAAGATTGATAACCATTGATAACTCTTGTAGTACGGTACCTTTTCTTCTCCATTATGTGTTTACAAAACCCATGAATTTTTTTTTTAATCAGTTGGTAATTCAGCCCTTGAGAGCTACCTTACCACAACAAATCACTGTGTATACACAATGGGAAAAATGTACTTCAGTAGAGAAATTGATTTTAGTTTCAAGAGGTTATTAAAAGCATGAGAAAAATATTTGCAATTTATGAAAAATATATAAAAGTATTCATTTATAGAAGCATTTTGGAGAATCCATTAATAGACTGCATAGTATTTCCAAACACTAAAAGGCACAGTGATATGTGGCTCTAATATAAATCACAATATCAGTTTTGTTATGCATATCTCATCGCTGAAATAACATGTCTATTTCTATGTTGTAAAAGTCCCTTCTCTTAGTTATGTTTCATAGGCATTAATTTTACATTCTTTGAATTGACTATTTTATAATCATTTCCACAATTTTGGGTAGTACAATAAAAGAAATCTGTGCTCTCTTTGCCATTCTGTGGTGCATTTTCTTCAGATAAATTTCTTCATGTTTAACTACAAAGACTGGGGGGAAATTTGTTTTAGATTGTTTCTGGCAGCACAATGAGCTGTTGTGCCTGAGGGAGATTAACATTTTATTCATTGTTCTCGTTTAATACATTACTGTGCAACTTCAAGACGTATTTTTGCATAATAATTGAAAAGCTTTTTCTCCACCCTCTTTTCTTTCATTTCCAATGATACAGAAAAGGCTAAAAAGATAATTTTCTTAATATTTTTATTAAAGTTTATAAAAACATTGGGTATCAACAGATCAAATAAGCTTTTTTGCTTGGTTATTATAAACAACTAAAAATAATATTGTTATTAATAGCACATTCATTTTGATAGTCCATTGAGGCCTCATTTACTTCATCAGAAAAAACAAGGTCACCATTGTGTTGTAGAAATCTAGCTTCATCAATATTTTACTTCTCCTATAAGAGCTTGGCTTTGTACAGCTAAAATGTGAAAAAGCTTTTCACTTGTTCATTGTTTGCTGTGCTTGCTGTCGATTCACACATACCCCTCCCCACAACACACATCCCATTACATGCATATAATGAGTGAAATCTTAAACCCATTGAAGTTGAATGGGAGTTTTGTCATTGGCTTCAGTGGGACTAAGATTTCACCCATTGTATTTTGCTTTATAGTGTGCCCATATGAAATCAGATGCTTCTACAGAAGATCACTGGTTTGAATCTCACCCAGGTGGTAGTGAGCTAAAATTGTTACTGTCTGATAACTGATCATTGGTATGTGAAATATACTGGTAGTCTTTGTCAAGTTCCTAGTGGACATGTGTCCATATTACAAAAGATAACATGACAAGTAACACCAATTGGCACCCTTGTTTATAATGTTTATAAAGAGGCCAAGGATTAAATGTAAACTGAAGTATGCTTTCACTCCTAGCAGTGGGCACTCCAGACTAGGGCTGAGGCATATGGAGCAGTGTGGGGAATCTGTGCTGTGCAAGTTTCTTGGAAACAGAGGATTTCAGTCTCCAGGACTGTCAAGGGGGCGTATCTTTCACAAGCACCCAAATTCACTTCGCCAGGAAAAAAAAAGACTCTTGAAACCTAGAGAGCTTGGTTGAAAAGGAACTGGTTCTGTCTGTGTACTTGACACTCTTGCGACCTTGGGCAAATTGCTGAATCTCTCTGTTCCCTAGCTTAATCATCAGTAAAAAGGGTATAATGTTATTGTAAAACAGCCTAGAGTGCTTTGGCATGCTGAAAGCATGCTATGATGTCAGGAGAAAGGGCAGTTACCTTGCTAAGTTATAGTGTCTCATGAATAACAAGGGATAGAAACCAATGCCACATACCACTGGAAAAATGAGAACCACACCATTTTAATGGACAACAGTTTTCTCTAATTCTGGTGAGTCATATAATATGAAACTTTAAATCACATCCACCTTATAACATCCCCCGCCACCTTTATTTTTCTCCTAATTTTATTGGCTGATGTTTTAAGAACTGCTGATTTCATAAGCAGTTCTTGTTTTCATGTTCAAACGCAGGAAAAATTGCCCAGTAAAATTAAGTGGAGAAAATGTTAGGCTTTGAGGGAAAATAAAGGACTATAAGTCTGTTTACCTCCATTAGGATGTTGTAGCTCTAGTTGAATGCGTAAATTGGACCGGCTTATTGCCACAGCAGCATGGGATTCCA